GAAGAAGTGGGCTCAGGAAACAAGTTACAGAGGCAAAAGAAGGGCCCTTGGAGCTTAGGAGAGCGAGAGGTAAGGAAAACTTGGCAGGGATGGTAGAGGGAGGGGAAAGGCGCTGGTGGTCCTAGGAGGGAGAGCCAAAAACATTTTGTTTTTAAAGTAAAATATTTTTTAGGTGGGAAGTGGGAAGGAGTGTTATTGGTGTGTATCAATATTTTGGTGTCATTCAACTAGAAAAGTGAGTATTTTCTGCATTAAAAGTAACTTAATTGAATATGATTTTTAGCCTTGTGATTATATTTGGAATTTTATAAAATTATGTATTGTACACATGAATAGACAGTAAGTTATTTTCCCAAATTATTCCTCAGTTTTTACATCCATATTTGAGTCCTTAAGCAGTCTTTTATGTAGTGTCTCATGTTGCGGGTTGCATAGTCCATTACCTTATTCTGAATAACTAAGTTTTGTTTGAGGAGGGTACATAGGCTTGGAGGGACCTCTTATAATAGTAGTTTGGGATGCTTATAGAAGTCACTTGATTTAATGAATTTGCACAAAGTGAGGGAGAGAAATTTAACAGATTTTGAAGTTTTCAGGTGTTGATGTAAATAAAACTTTTAAAGACCTTTTTTTTAAGTATCATAATCATGAATATACCCATAGGATTAATGGAAAACATCAGCTGTTTCAATGTTAATTTTTTTATATCATTGTTAATTGAAATATAAAATATCCAGTTATAGTATCATACAGGGATTTAAAAGTGTTGTACCTGAAACAATTTAGAAGTTATTAATGTGCTCTGGAAAACCTAGATGACTTTAAAGAAAATCTGAAGCTGACCAAGGTACTGTTTTTCAAGAAGGCTTTTGACTAGATTGAGATGAGTGCCTCACCTATATAGATAGAGATGTAATATTGATCTCACTAGGAAATGTAGGCTCTCTGTACTTTTGAGACAACCTTATAATCCTGATTGTGGTATTGTCAGACAAATATGGTGTCAGGAAGAGCCCTTCTAGTTGCTAGAGGGGATGCTGCCCTATTCATGAATCACGTAACAAAGCCAATTATCACTTCAAAAAAAGGGGTAATCCCAAAGTTTAAAGTGACCGGGAGATGGTTATTCAGGTGTGTTCAGCGTTTTTTTCTGCCCTAGCAGGCTGAGCAGTTTAGTTATACTTGTCAAAAACAAAGGCTTCCCAAAACAATGCTTTGGAGATGGGGTGGGGGGCAGTGGTTGTATATAATTTGAGGAACCCCAAGTACATAGTGGTACTTGGTCTGGATGGGATGGGGTGGGGTTGTTTGAACAGGCGCATGCTTTCCCAGCACCACATAGTTAACCTCTGACTTGGACCAGAACCCTGGGCTGCTCCTAGGGCAGTTTTTTTCTCTCTGCTACACCCTTTCCTTCCCCTTTCGTTGTTTTTCTACCTTTTTCCTTTCTATTTTCAACAGAGTTTGAACTGTCATATGCTTGGTAAAATAAAAACTGCTGAGCTGTACTCAGAAACAGTCTTGAAGTTCAGATCACAATGCATTTAAGGACATACTATCATTCAACTTAATGGCCTTTTCTGACTTGCTAATTGTCACCAGTTTTTCCAAGTCATAGGCTCCAAACTTTGGTGTCATTTTTTTAAATCCAGGCTGTCTCTTATTTTTCATGTTTAAACAAGTTTTCAAGTCCTGTTAATTCTTCTTCACAATGTGTGTTCATACTTCTTCCTTTTCTTTCTCAGCATTAACCTTCGAAAGGCTCTCTCAATCCTTTGCTTGAACTGTTGAAATAAGCCCTTAATTGATCTCTTCTTGTGGTTTCTCCTTTTCCAACCTTTATTACACATTAGTTGTATTATGGTAAGCTTAAAAAATAGAATATTTACTGAGCACTTACTATGTGCCAGATACCGTTTTAAACATTAGCTCCTTTGCATAATAGTCTTGAGGTTTACATACTGTTAATAACCTGTTCTGCAGATGGAAAGGGAGGCACGTTTTAATAATCCAGAGCCACACAGTAGCTGGATAATAAGTGCAGACTTGAGTCCAGACAGTTCAGAGCATTCACTGCCATAACTAAAACACAACTGGAACTGTGTCACTCCTGGCACACCTTTTCTGACACCCTTGCCTGCTTTACGAAGCCCAGATTCCTTAGCCTGGCAGTAAGTCTCTTGGGCTCAGTCTGCCTTTCTGTCCTTAGCCGACTGCTCTGTCTATATTCTAATGTCCAGCCAAACCTGAGGGGACATTTGAGAATTGGGAGTTGATCAGTAAGGCAGCTCAAAGTGTGCTGGAGCGAGCATGGGGGTGCCTCTGAGGGCCTGGGGCCTCAGGGAGGGAATGTCAGAGGGTGCGACCACAAGTGGAGCTTGGGGCTAGACTGTGGGCACTTACTAGTCTTGTCTTGTTCCACAGGACATATTCGTGAACTTTTTACAAAATTCATGGGTATCAGAGAACTGGCTTTTTCTTTTTTTATGATGCTTTGTAAATTTTGATGTGAAGTTTTCTCATTTTTCCTAGACTCCTTTTTAAATTCCCCTCTCTTCTGGCCAGAGCCACTCACTTGCCTGTTTTCTCCTGAATTTGAGTAGGTTGTATTTGGGAACGGAAATGCTGAAGCAGGGCCCTGCCCCTCTCCCTGCTGGTTCAGTTTATCCTTTACTCCTTGACAGGGATTCAGCAATCTCTTGTCTTTTAGGAGGTGTTTCTCATGTCCATTGTGCACTTTCCCATTCCTTCTATCTTTGAGGCTCAGCTCAAAGAGTGGTGAAGAGGAGACTCAGAGCCTAGTTTGCGTTACTGCTTAGCAGCTGCAGGAACCTGTGAACCCAGGGTCACCACGCTTAGGGTCACTATGGAGCTGCTGACCTTCAGTTTCTTTCTATGTAAAATGTAACAAGTACTGTAATAATGCCACCTAATTCGTAGTGCTTTTGTGGGTGTAAATAAGGGTGTACTGGGACGGTGTTCAGCATGGAATAAGAGCTCAGTGAATGCTGTTACTGATTTTTACTTTTATTTTTCCGTTATTGTGGAAAACTACTCACAGAGCATTCTGGTAAAGGGCCATAGAAATCTGCTTTATTTATACTATTGTTATTGAAGGCACACTGTGTGCTTTGGAAAAATTTGTTTGAGAAGTAAAAATGAAATCTCGTTTATTTATTCATTGACTAGTTTATCAATTTCTAGTGAATTTGAAAGTTTTCCCGTATCATTATTATTGGTTTGTGAGAATTGCATCTTTTGCTGATTTTTTTCTGGAGTGGGGCAGATCTTAGTGTTTCCAGTTGTATTGTTAGAGATTAAGGATATTGTATAATACTTTAGACAATAACATTCTCCAGACTATATTCATTTGGTATAGAACTGAGGTGCAGAGTTTTACCACTTTTGCACAGTAGGTATGGAAGAAGGAAACTAATTATGACCTCTAAAATGTGTTTATTTGCTACATAAATATACTTTTAATGAAGGGTTACTGTTTTTATGGTATTAAATTTTATAACCTCTCTTGAACAGTTAAAAATTTGCTTAATGCTTAATTTCTAAAGTGTCTGGTCAGATGAATATCTTGCCTTTTGGGCATTCTGTAATGGAAAATCCCCATAAATATACTATGTTTTAATTGGAATCACAAAGCCAAATGATTGCCTCATTGGATAATTTTAAGTATTATGCTGCAATTCAATATAGGTACCCAAGTACTTAACTGGATTTAAAAATATCTTGTGTGTTTAACAGCTGTCTAGCTAGAACTAAAAAAATGAATGCAGAGTATGTGTATGATTCTCCTCTTTTCTGCTTGGGGTAGAGGGAAAGGTTTTTTTTAAAATGGTGGGTCCCTGCCTATGTCGTTCGTCCCCCCCCCC